TGAACATTCAGGGCCAATACTGTACCTCCCAAGAATTTGTTTTTTTACGTTCAAAATGTTCATCAATAAAAAATAAGAAAATCATCGTATTATTAAACATTAGTTTTGCTATCAAAAATGGAAATTTGTAATAAAATTTCTATTATATTTTTTATAGAATACTAAAAAAAGGTTGAAGTCGTCTATCTTTTGGTCGGTGTCTACCTGTTGGTCTGGTTACCCTATTCAACTCTAAAAAATGGAAATTGGAATGAGGATAGAAAAATTCAATAACTTATGAGAATCCAACAAATTAAGTCATTTAGAATTTTTTTTTTGGAAATCAATAGGGATTAATTTTTGGGTGCTATTGTCTTGGGATGTACCTTAACGAGGCATCTTGCCTAGTACCACGATTTGTTAACTATTACCAAATTGTGAGGGAATTTCTTGCAGCGACGATTTGATTGAAATTTCAAAATAATTTCGTCATCCAGGGAAAATGTAAATTTCAGCGCCATTATCTCATTAAAATTCATAGAAATGAGGAAACTACAGGTAATTAGGGAATTCGGAGTAACTCAGTAATGAACATTCAGGGCCAATACTGTACCTCCCAAGAATTTGTTTTTTTACGTTCAAAATGTTCATCAATAAAAAATAAGAAAATCATCGTATTATTAAACATTAGTTTTGCTATCAAAAATGGAAATTTGTAATAAAATTTCTATTATATTTTTTATAGAATACTAAAAAAAGGTTGAAATCGTCTATCTTTTGGTCGGTGTCTACCTGGTGGTCTGGTTACCCTATTCAACTCTAAAAAATGGAAATTGGAATGAGGATAGAAAAATTCAATAACTTATGAGAATCCAACAAATTAAGTCATTTAGAATTTTTTTTTTGGAAATCAATAGGGATTAATTTTTGGGTGCTATTGTCTTGGGATGTACCTTAACGAGGCATCTTGCCTAGTACCACGATTTGTTAACTATTACCAAATTGTGAGGGAATTTCTTGCAGCGACGATTTGATTGAAATTTCAAAATAATTTCGTCATCCAGGGAAAATGTAAATTTCAGCGCCATTATCTCATTAAAATTCATAGAAATGAGGAAACTACAGGTAATTAGGGAATTCGGAGTAACTCAGTAATGAACATTCAGGGCCAATACTGTACCTCCCAAGAATTGGTTTTTTTACGTTCAAAATGTTCATCAATAAAAAATAAGAAAATCATCGTAGTATTAAACATTAGTTTTTTTTATCAAAAATGGAAATTTGTAATAAAATTTCTATTATATTTTTTATAGAATACTAAAAAAAGGTAGAAATCGTCTATCTTTTGGTCGGTGTCTGCCTATTGGTCTGGTTATCCTAGATTGATAAATTCCGAATATGGTGAATTTTTTGTCAAGTTTTATAGTTCAGTTTCTGCGATATTCAACTTTAAAAATTGAAATGACGTGAAATCATTTCTTATTTGGTTCCTCTGAGCATTTACAATACCGCGTTGGATAAAAAAATTCTTTCTCCATCGCAGAAAAATTCCTACACATGTGAATGATAACGCATCATTTACCAATGTAAATAAGAAGAGGAATTGTATCTACGAGAGCAGACAAAGAGGCGCAGGACAGAGGAGACAGAGACTGAGTCGAGGACTGCCCAACGAACATCTAATTAATGTATTGTTTCACCGGCTGTCGTCGGCCCCCGTGAAATCTGCATCTGAGGCACATGAATATGGAACACGGCATGTCCATGGTGCGCCCCCTACAATTTTCTCTGCATGTGAGACGGGGAATCACATGAGTGAAGCGTTTTGGGGTTTCCTGAGGCGGTGGAACAGCGAATAGTTGAAGTCAGCTTGGAAATATTGCCCCGTGCTACGGCAGCAGAGCCCCTCGTTAGCGGTGGAGCGTCAAATATTTGTTTGCATTAGAATGCAAATGAAAAGGGCGGAAACTCATTTTATAACTGTAAAAGGCCATAATTTAATAACCGGTGGATTTAAAACGAAATAATACGCAAAATTTTTTTTGGAATAAGAATTTTAAAAAGTCAACCCATTCAAAAGCAAATTGTTAATTTATAAAAAAAAATATAATTGTCCACTTGTTTCAACCAAATTGACGGAATTCCTTGAAACTTCAGTGGAGCTGTCGCTCGGTAAAAATTTCTACGAATTGTATCGAAAGTTTCCGTCAAAAATTCTCGATAATATGCGACAGGAATAATAATATACTCTAATAATAATGCATTACTTATACTGCTCCCGTAAATTTCTAATAATAAGATCAGTGAAAAGAAAATAGAGTATTTCCCTGGCAGTCGGGATCACCGGACAATGTGAATGATAATGTGAATTCCATATTCCAGATACGAGGGTAGGGGATATGCGCGCGTGCATACGAGAAACGACATTATCCATGCAAATATTACCCACGTCTACGTATGGAGCCGTGTAAACATCCCCAGAGCACGTGGCTGAAGGCCTCAATATTGCGTTGTATAAGGCTCTCGCACGTACGAGTGCACCCCGCCCCTGTGTGCTTTTCCACGCGTCAATCTCGGAGAAATTGAGATGCGGTGAAATGCCGGATTCCCCGCAAATCTGGTATTCCATTCTGAACGATTAATTGGGATGTTTCCACTCAGAACGTTCGATTTCAACCTACCGGCAGGGATGGATTTTTCTTTTTCAACTTCTCTCGATGTACCGGGGGAATTAATCACGTGGCACGGCCAACTCAGGTCGTAATATCTCGAGGGAAATCTTATCTCGAGTGCAGTTGGCACGTGTTACGATGCGTTGGAATCATCTTCGAATTAGAGTTATTGAACAACATGGTAACTGCTGTTGGAATTGATATCTTGAAGTGGGAAATCAGCATGTTGCTGGGAAAAATTGAATTTTCGTGGACATTGGGGAATAGTGTTTAGTAGTTGCGGTCTACTGCGCCGCCATGCGGTGGCGTCCCTGTACTACGGTTATCATAACCTTGAGATGCGGTGAAATGTCGGATTCCCCGCAAATCTGCTATTCCATTCTGAACGATTAATTGGGATGTTTCCACTCAGAACGTTCGATTTCAACCTACCGGCAGGGATGGATTTTTCTTTTTCAACTTCTCTCGATGTACCGGGGGAATTAATCACGTGGCACGGCCAACTCAGGTCGTAATATCTCGAGGGAAATCTTATCTCGAGTGCAGTTGGCACGTGTTACGATGCGTTGGAATCATCTTCGAATTAGAGTTATTGAACAACATGGTAACTGCTGTTGGAATTGATATCTTGAAGTGGGAAATCAGCATGTTGCTGGGAAAAATTGAATTTTCGTGGACATTGGGGAATAGTGTTTAGTAGTTGCGGTCTACTGCGCCGCCATGCGGTGGCGTCCCTGTACTACGGTTATCATAACCTTGAGATGCGGTGAAATGCCGGATTCCCCGCAAATCTGGTATTCCATTCTGAACGATTAATTGGGATGTTTCCACTCAGAACGTTCGATTTCAACCTACCGGCAGGGATGGATTTTTCTTTTTCAACTTCTCTTGATTTACCGGGGGAATTAATCACGTGGCACGGCCAACTCAGGTCGTAATATCTCGAGGAAAATCTTATCTCGAGGGCAGTTGGCACGTGTTACGATGCGTTGGAATCATCTTCGAATTAGAGTTATTGAACAACATGGTAACTGCTGTTGGAATTGATATCTTGAAGTGGGAAATCAGCATGTTGCTGGGAAAAATTGAATTTTCGTGGACATTGGGGAATAGTATTTAGTAGTTGCGGTCTACTGCGCCGCCATGCGGCGGCGTCCCTGTACTACGGTTATCATAACCTTCCTGACCGGTAGCTGTTGGCCAACGAAATATAAATATTCTTGAAATGAAGAACAGAGAGAGAGAGAGAGAGTGATTTATAGTGAAAATAACTGAATTCGACCACAAAATCATTGAAGCCAATTAATTTTACCCCCCTGTCCTCTATATAATTATAATTCACACGTTGAATCGGGACAGTAGCTTAGCAGCTGTCATTGGCCTAGATTATACTTATCAGCGTTGTCTAGTGTAACAGTTTGTTGATTCCACTGATAAAATTGCATTCGACAGAGCAGTCTCGGAATTATTCCGCAACATTTCAAACATTGAAAAAGTACCTTCAGACAGCACAATTATTCACAATGTCTCATTACTCCCGACTGGAAGCACATTGGAATTATTCCGGCTCCAGACATTCCACCAACATGAAAAGAATCCGCTCTTTACAATCAGTTCTCTAACGAGCCCAATTGAAAAGCGCAAATATGCACCCGTTTTATTAATTTTGTTCTATATCACGGAATAATGACGTGACATCGACAATGAGACCGTAACGAGATCCGTCGGGAGACTGTTCGACATGCTGTGACGTGGGTATACGTGTATACAGCGGATCGGTGCTCTACGAACAATGCGTCGTCAAATTGGCAAAAGAGCCGAGGGAATAAGCCGAGCTAATTCCAAGCGATTTTAACAAAGTAGAGGAAAATATTCACGTGTGTAGGTGGATTGAGCAAGGGTAGGCGGTCTTGTTGAGATAGTGCCCAGAGGGAAATATTTTTTTTTAACCGAAACATTGATGTTTTACGTATTTTAATTAGTATAATGTGAGTTTTGGCTGAACATCCTTAAATTGAATTCAACGACTCATTGAATGCACCATTGCCTTAATGTTGGCAGCCAATATTTCCTCAACCTTTACCTTTCTCTGAATATTGATTTCAAAATAAATTTTTCCAACAACAAATGATGCAATCAATCAATCTCGTGATCGGACTCGGTCAGGATGACATTGCGGAGAATATTTTACGATACAAGTGAGAAAAGGACACTTTTTTAATGGCGCGCGCGCTAAGAATTGCCTTGCGGAATTTCCAATTAAATTCTCTCGTCTTCTGGATTTATACAGAAAAGTTGTGATATATATTTTTTTTCATGAAGGTACAATTCTCTGAGGATTCAACTTACCGTGCAACTGCGCAAGGGACTGTAGTGTGCTGACGTTGGAGTTTATAAATCCTGGAACAAGCCAAAATAATAAAATCATTATTGCGGGTACGAGAATAAAAGACAGCTATAAACAATAAAAAAATGAAACTAAAAATCCAGCTCTTGAATTTTTAATGACGATAATAAAGTACTTTGGACGGAGTTTCGCAGTGCTCCGGAGGACTCGTCTTCCGGTGAAACGAGTTCGTGCCACGGCTGAGGAACCCGTTCGAAACTAGAGTTGAAAGATACGGGGAAGACTCCTAATCTCTCTCGCTCTCCCCCTTTTATTTCCTCACTGTTTCTTCCTTTCCCCTCATTGCAACCCAGTTACGATATCTTCGTCCGGCATGAGAGAATCCAGACATGACAATGTACACTCAGACTCGCAATTCTCGAATTTGTTGAGTATTTTGGCTCAGCGTGAGCACGAATTTTTTCACTGATGAACCGTTAAACCAGAAAATACTTCTTTATTGTTCTGACATTGAAGTTGATGGAAAATTTTTATGAGAATTCACAATTTGATGAAAAAATCAATGGAAGTTGTGAATTTCAGTTCTACTATTCCTGAATTCAGCAGCGAATCGGTAAAACGATTCAAATCGACTCAGCTCTCAGCTGAGTTTTCGAGGGATATCTTCGAATCTAAGATAGATAGCGAATTTTTCATGAGAATCTGTTTTGTAGAGCGACTTGGGGACTACAAAAAACGTTCTGGAAAAAATTTGCCATCTGCCTTAGATTCCGAGATATTCATTGAAAACCACATCATCTTTATCCTTTTGAAAACTTGAAATTCTACGGTAGCTTTAGACAAATTCCACATTTCACGATTTTTTCTCCATGAAATGTCAATTTTTCCTAGTAGTGTGGTTATGAAATTAGACATGCGAAATACGCAATGAAAAAAAAATTGATATTTAGTATTTTATTCAGCAGCGAATGGTTAAAACGATTGAAATCGACTCATCAGCTCTCAGCTGAGTTTTCGAGGAATATCTTCGAATGTAAGGTAGATACCGAATTTTTCGCGAAAATCTTTTTTGTAGAGCAAAATGAGTGCTACAAAAAAAGTCCCAATAAAAATTTTGCTATCTGCCTTAGATTCCTAAATATTCATCGGAAACCGACTAACAGTCAAAATCTACATAATCAAACACTAAAAATTATTATTCTTCATTTAAACCTTCAGAAATTCTGACTCTTTGACCAAGAGTCTCAATGAATCCAACAATCCGTGAAGGTCTTGACATAACGATATTCTTCATTCGCGTACTGATGCGAAACAATTAACCCTGTCCATTGAAACAACCGGAATGTGCGGGAATACCTCCGTCAACCTTCTGAAGGCGACCGCTGCATGGGAACCCATGCATTAATGCGGTAATACGAACAAACAAAACATCCACGATATTAACACCACCACCAACTGAACAATGCAATGCACTCCCCCCCTGACAAGACTCATCTCGTGCGACACGATGCGGCTTTCGAATGTATAACGCGTACTGTATTCCGCTTGTGTAATCGCGATCAGTCTACCGCGTTCTCATCCTCTACTCTGCCTTCATTCTGCTGGCATATAACGTTATTTATGTTGCAAACGGCGCATCATCTTCGAGAACACAGCTGTAGAGCGTGACATACAAACCACGAGGAGGTTTGACTATATAATCGTTTGGAAATTATCGCCTTGTGTTTTTGTTCCTTGTCAAAATAACCACCGCGAGCCGAGTAGAGAGTGGAAAGCGCCTGGGAGAGGGGCTTTCGTTACAATCTCTCGGTTTTACACTGTCAGTTCGACAGGAGTTTATCACCTGACACTTGGGAAACCTAATATCGAGCAATGACCACCGGTAATTGCATCAGACAACAATCATCGGGTTTACGCTTCGTTGGAGTAAATCATGAGAAAACTCATTTTCGCGGATTAAGAAATTACTGGTCTGAGGGCACGCTGTTGGGTATTTTTTGAAATTGAATGGAAGATGTTATGGGAAATCTCGTGAGAGTGACATTGAATCGGGTTTAGGGAAAAAGTGGGTGTGAATTTTATCGAAATTTCAAGGAAATTCGTAATTTCAAATTCAATATTTTATAGGGGAGGCTGGGGTAAAACGGACACTAGACTTTTTTCTAATTATTCATAACTCAGAAACAAATTGATCAATCGAGCTCAGTTTAAGCTTGTCATAAAGTTGAAGAATTGTTCTTTGTATTGAAAAAATATATATTAAATTTTATCAACATTTCAACCCCTTATTAATTTTTTTTAAAAAGTCAAAAGTGTCCGTTTCATCCCAACCTCCCCTAGGAAAATCAATGGGAACTTAAATTAAGAAAAAATTATCCATGAAAATGAATAGAAATCGCCAAAATTCAGTTCAATATGTTTTTGAAATTTCAATTAATTAATAGCTCGGCATAATTGACGTAATCAGACAACAATCATCGGATTTACGCTTCGTAGGAGTAAATCATGAGAAAAATAATTTCCGCGGACATTTCCGTTGGACATTTTTTGAAATTGAATGGAAGGCGTTATAGGAAATCTCATGAGAGTGACATTGAATCAGATTTAGCGAAAAATGGTTATGAAATTTCAAGTTTTAAGTAGAATTCGAGGAAATTCATGAGTTTTCCCACGGAGAGAAATGTTCAGTAAAAATTACGTTTTTATTATGTTTAACATTAAGTAATTTCGGGAATTCTGATTTTCCTGCGCCTCAAAAATTTTCAATTCCATTGGATTTCCAGTAAGTTTTAAATTTCATCTTCCCCCCCCCCCCATTTCCATGTCATTCTCTAGAAAATTCCTGCCAAACGGCGCACGAAACTATAAATTTTCCCTAAGACCTGCATTTTCGTTTGACTGCAAAATTCTTCTCATAATCTTCTCCACCAAATTCTCCCCTTCACACTCGCAATTCCAATTATAAAACATCTTAAACCTTCAGCCGCGATGAAAAAGCGTTGAAAATTGCCTGCGACTATAATCTCGCACTCAATAAACCCCAGCCTTTTCCCTCAATCTCCAGAATGAGGTTATGCTCATAAATTTTATTGAGAATTCATTTGACCCAGACGAGAGGCTTCATTGATTTCCATGCAATCAAAATGGTCGAACATGCTACCAATAAATTCCCGATACCCTCGTCAGCGAAGAAGCATCATACGCAGGGAGTTCATAAAAAACAACAACACAATTTGCTATTAAATTACCGTTGACATAAACCGAGAAATTAGGAAATCGATAAATCAGGGAATATTGACGTATTGCTGAGGATTTATTACACAGAAATCACAGGTCACACGATAAATCAGGCTGTAATTGTCTGCAGCTGATAGCGACTCTTCCGCACGTGAACTTTTCGAGTGAGTTTCAATGGATAACACTGACTATAAAAGCATTTGGCGTAAATGGGTGCATATTCAGGGGTATCGGAGATGAGGTGCAGTGAGATCAGACCATTAGTCGGCACTCGTTAAAGCGCTTCTCGGAGTAAATCCGGTGGCTCTTAGAAAGCGAAATCCCACTGGCGAACGAATCCCCAGAGTATTCTCCCGTTTTTTCATCTCATTCCGAGATTGTTTGCTTTATCTACTTTTTGTTTGGTGCTGGAGAACACTTCTTGAGACTGACAACACTCCTGATTATGTGGGCATTTCGCTGGGTAAATAATTGACTTTCTTGACGTGGCAAAACAGAGAATTGAAACCCGTGTGTATCGCTGACTTTCCACACGGAGAGAAATATTCACTGGTAATACCACAAGAGCTTCAAAATTATCGGGTATTTTCCGATAGGTTCGTTGTAAACAAACGAAGGAGTCAAGTTTTTCAGGTTAAAAAATCACGAGTGTGAAGCACGAGTGATTTTCCCTGGAAAACTTGACGACTCCGGTTGTATGCAGGGAACCTTGAGGAAAATGCCCGATTAATTTTGAAGCTCGTGTCGTATTCGGGGGATTATTTTTCCAATCCAAATGTCGGGCAATATAATTGGACCATGAGACGAAACTCACAATTGAGAAACGAAAATTGTATAATTAACACTCATTTCGAATAAAAATCCTCGAATTACCACAATTGAATTCAATCTGTCAGTTTGACGAGGGGAAATTCGACTGCATGATGTTTTATTTTTTATATAGCAACGACCAGAGAAAATTATCAAAAAATTATCAGTTGAAAACCCTGTAGCTGTACCACGTGATGTCGAATGGGCCAATTATATTGCCCGATATTTGGGTTGGAAAAATAATCAATAAAAATTATATATCTTTTCCGTAATTCCGGAGCGAAATGTGGTTGTAGGAAATTTTACGGAACTGTCACGGAATTTTTCCAGAGCGTCCCGTAATTTTTATCTGAATGTCCTGTGAAAAATGACGATACCGTCACTTAAATTTTCTGCATCGATTCCGTAATCGGTGAGCGAATTGTGAGTTCCGTAATTTTTATTGAACACTTCTCTCCGTGCACGGAGAGAATATAAAATTGAAAATTGTTAGGGGAAATTCGAATAATTTTAACCGAATGTTTGCGATGAGAAATTCATTTTTCACGATTTAACATAGTAATTCTTAACGCAAAAAACAATATAAAATTAACGGACGAAAAAATAATTTTGAAAAGTGAAATTACTCAAATCGTATGAATTTTTAGTATGTTAAATAGCAATTTTTTCTGACGATTTGAAACTTTAGTTTGTACTAATTGATTCGTCGTCCGACAGCTCGAGATTGAAGAAGAGAAATCCAATGAATTCGGTATTATTCCCCAGTTACTGTTACAAAGCTTTGAAGTACGACGAGGCGCATCTAAATAGTATTCACTGTTAGAAAAAAAATTGGAATTTCATGGACAGTTGACTAGTAATTTTCAGGAGAGTGACACTGAATTTGATTCAGGAGGAGAATAATCATGAAATTTCAGATTTCACTAATACCAATTACGCTTGACTATTGATTAATTGAAAATTCAAGAAAATATTGACCTCAATTTTTAGGCTTTCTGTTAACTTT